TCTTTATTCTTTACTGTAAGTACTTAATGCATTTTGCCAGAGCCAGTTTGCTCTCTACAATATACACTCTTTTAGCTTATTCCGATTACAAACTAAAATTCCTGCTAATTTAGATAAACTTCCAGTCAATCTTCAGTTAAAGATACAATTTAATAACTAAGAACACTTTATTTTTTAATCAATTCAATTAATTATCTGCTAAAACTGTGATTGACCGAAAATAAATATGCTTTACTGGACAAACTAGCGATATGTATCGGAAAGCCTAGAGATGTGCTCTGATATTTAAAAATACTTTATTGATTACCTATCATCACATGGTCCTTTGCATTTCCAAGGCTGGAAACCAAGCACAACAATTTTCTTTCAGTAAAATTTGCTCAAAACAAGCTTTTGTTTTGAATGTATTTCTGCCAAAAATGCGGGCCAAAGTTCCTGATTTTTCAGCTCCTAACTGGATTTCATATAAAAATGCCTTGGAACTTTATCCTTTTGGGTCCGGTTTGATAGCATCTTATTCTTTTTAAAACACCAGAAATCCTCCCAGTATTTTTCTCTAGTTTATCGCAACTTTCATCTAACAAACATTAGGATGAGTGGCCATTAAGGCTGAAGGAACATTACTTACAACTAAGTATGTTGTTTCTGACATGCATTGTATTATTTCAGATTGCTGATATCTTCGGGTCGCTTTAGAGAAGTTGTTGCGATAAAATTATTGCGCCTTAAAGCCTTAATGTGCCCAATAAGAGTTTCGGACGCACATTAATGGCACAAATGCAAGCAGGCAAAAATTTAATTAAAACTCCTCGTCAAAACTTGCAGATTTTCGGAATGAATTCGATGGCAACAAAATGCTGGGAAACTTCTTGTCGTTCGTCAAATTCATTAGAGATAACTGCCAACTAATTAGGGCCGCAAAATCTGTCGGATTATCAGTCCGGTATAAACTTGACACAAAATATGAAACAAAAGTTAGGAGAATAAATTAACTTAAGCCCCCAATAGCTGAAAATAAGCTTCTTTATCCACTAATTTAATTAGCCAAATTGAACTTGGAAAATACCAAAACTCGGTCAACAGGAAATGGAAATAGATGTGAAATCCTTAAACACACATGGTTGCACTAAATATATTTCAAGTCGAACAGTATTTACTCATAGAATTCGGTGCGGCAAAGAAAAATTGCTGCACCGCTTTCCACTTTGTATGGATTTGTTTAAACTTGTTACCTCAAAAGTGATTTCCTTGACTGCATTTATGGCAAATCGATAAGTGAGTGAGGAATTTGGCAAAACAATTTGGAACATTTGATTACTTGGTTGATTGATTCTTGACTTTATTTAACCCCTCAACTCCGATCCAATTATTTTGGTATTATCCTCCACCTGTTAGTTTCGTTGCTAATTTAATTGATTTCGCAGTGTGCACTAGCTATTTGACATCAGGAAATTATTTGATGATTAATTTATGTTCGCTCGGGTCTCTTGGATGCTGAGGAATGAGTGGTCAAAGAAGACAGGACAAGAATGGCCAAAAATCGAAAACGTTTGGGTTCCAAAGGATCCAGCAATTGATAGAAAACAAACCAGCGGGCCGAAAGAAACCAAACTTCCACACAGTTTTAACTGGGGTTTCTGTTAGCGACTGTGGAAGCTTAGATTCTGATATCTAAAGAGAGGTTGATGGGTGATACTGTAGAATGGCCAAAAATCGCAAAAGTGCCGAAGGTTCCCCAATTGTTTAAAAAAACAAACCGCTGTCCGGAAAGGAACGAAACTCACGTCCATTCTTAACTGATACTTCTGTTATCGACAGTCGAAGCTCAGATTCTGATATTGGATCTCAGTGCTGAGTAACGAGCCATGATGAGTGACACTGCAAAAACGGCCAAAAGTCGCAAAAGTGATGAAGGTTCTGCAAATGATAAAAAACAAACCACTGGACCAAAAAGAACCGAACTTTTACACAGTCTTACCTAAGGCTTCTGTTACCGATTGATGCAGCCATATTCTGATGTGGGACCTGGATGTTGAGCAACGAGCTGAAAGAATGAAAGACCAAGAGCCAGAAAACTTTACAACTAACTACGAAACTGCGCTTCCTCATTTAAAAATTCGCATCTTCCAAACTAATGTAAGTAAGAACTTGAAATTTTCATCATCGTAAGGAGATACCAGAGTGAACAAATGCTGAAAGTTTCATATCAATCGCCCAAAACCTTGATTTTTGCCGGCCCAGAAAATATGCAGATGGAACTGCAAGTTTTTACGAAACTGCGCTTCCTCATTTAAAAATTCGCATCTTCCAAATTAATGTAAGTAGCAACTTGAAATTTCAACCATCGTTAGGCGATACTTGAGTGGACAAATGCTGAGAGTTTCATATCAATCGCCCAAAACCTTGATTTTTGCCGGCACAGAAAATATGCAGATGAAAGTGCAAGTTTTTACGAAACTGCTCTTCCTCATTTAAAAATCCGCATCTTCCAAACTAATGTAAGTAAGAACTTGAAATTTCCACCATCGTTAGGCGATACTTGAGTGGACAAAAGCTGAAAGGTTCATATCAGTCGCCTTCCAAAGTAATGTGAGTAACAACCTGAAATTTCCACCATCGTTAGGCGATACGTGAGTGGACAAATGCTGAAAGTATCATATCAATCGTCCAAAGTCTTTATTTTTGCCGGCCCAGAAAATATGGACATGAAAGAGCAAGTTTTTACAAAACTCCGCTTCCTCATTTAAAAATTCGCATCTTCCAAACTATTGTAAGTAGCAACTTGAAATTTCAACCATCGTTAGGCGATACTTGAGTGGACAAATGCTGAGAGTTTCATATCAGTAGTCCAAAACCTTGATTTTTGCCGGCCC